CTATTTATATATATACATAAATATATATATATATATATATATATATATATAATATATATTTTTTACTTCATATGATCAGTTGGATTACTTATTCTAAAGCATTGTTAGACACTTCAGGGGTCTGTGCTTAAGGTCATGGTAGTTAGGGCATTTTAATACTAGAAATGTGTTTTGGCGGCCATTTTGAATTTTTATTTTGCATCTTCGCAATACAGGTGTATGCTATGGTGTTTTATATATGTTCTATTGGATTCCTTGAACTAAACAATATAGGTTTTGACACCAAGATTGTGATAATATGACACTTAGAGCCTTCAAATTCCCAAAATTGTTGGGGTTTTTTTTGGTGACCATTTTGAATATTTTATTAATTTTTTGTATTTTCACGATAAAGATGTACGTTATTGTATTTTAATAATGTTTTACTGGATTCCTTGAACCAAAGATCATAGGTATTGACACCAAGATCATGGTAATGTGGACACTTAGAGCATTTAAACTGCAGAAATTGTTTTTTGGCGGCCATTTTGGCCATTTCCAATTTTCGGTGGGAACGGTTGGAGTGACATCGTGGTTCCCGCAATTTATGGAATCAGCATACTCAAAAACCACCTAGGACAAAGTTTCATGCTTCTTTCCAGAAGTGCACATCTTGACCAAAAAATGTCACATATCCTCCCCACTATTGTAGTATTGTCGAGTCTGAATAATAATATGACTCTGAATGTGTGCATGTGGGATTTTGTAAAATGCATAATTAGATTGGGTGCGTGGCACAATGACGTCACGAGAGTTATGAGATTTGGAAGTAATCAGCTAGAAAATGTGTTAATTAAATGTGTTAATAATGGTGGTAGCTACAACATGTGTGAAAATTATAATTGTACTTGAAATACTTTCGGAGATAGTTGGTGGACAGAGAAAAGCACAAAACGTTATTTTAGTAGTACAGATTCGCTGCATATGAGGAACAGACATAGAAAGAACAAGATAGACCTCCGTTTTACTTAGTTTTTTAAAATTTCAATTCGAATTCAACAGCGGAGAACCCACCACTCATATAATAAAAACCAAAAACATGCAAGACAAGGGAAGAAAAAAAAAAAAAAAACCCGAACAATCGTTGTAATAAATATTATATAGATACAACTTAATTTTACGTTCAAAATAATCAACATAGACATCAATAGAAATAGACGGATCTTGAAAGATAGAAAAATTATGTAACTTACGATCTAACAATAGCATCAACTCATGAATACCGTAAATATGGCAACGTAAAACTGATACATGAATAGAGGCTTATAAAAATACCAAGACGTGTGTATGTTTTAACATTAATCAAGTCCAGGCTGGAGTATCAAAATTTGGATGGTGGTACCTTTGGCCTGGTTTGCTGAATTCAATTCTGTATGTAAATATTTCATATCTCACATATGGCTTAACCAGAGGTAAATTAGTACGGTAGTCGACTAAAATACAACGAATTGTACAAATGCCATCCTTTTGGTAATATTATGGTACGTTCCTAAAACTCTAAAACTACAGGGGCACCGAGGGGGCCAGGGATACCCGTCTGGGAGAGCTGGCTCCTCCGTCCTGGAGAAAAACAAAAACACCACAATTCGTCGGGGAGAAAAAAAAAATGTATATCCATTCTTTACATATTAGTAAACCCTAAAACCGATTAAATAAGCCTTTGAAAACCCCTAAATTGTCATATTTGGGGGGAAGGGGAGGGAAATCACTCCCTGGAACACTTTCGAGGGATTTTAAGCGACACCATACCACGTCCACTTTTTTCGTCGGGGACATTGGACCACCCGTCGAGCAAATCCTGGCGCCGCACTTGGAACATTTTGAGATATTATCTTGGTATTAATATTCTTAAAATCAACAATACAATTCTGTAAGAAAATTGGATATGAGGATGCATTTGACTATGGCGAAAACACTTGCATAACTGAAATCGAAGCTAAAATATGTCTTTTATATATTTGTTTTAACAAGCAATGTCTTTGTCCACAGATTTCTGATACCTGTTTTAGCGTATATATATATATATATATATATATATATATTGTTATTTTTGGCGTTTTAAAAATGTATAATAATATACAGTATAAACAACAAATAAATAAGTTAGAAAATGAAAATGTCAGCGGGGTTTTTTTTAGATATCAAATACAAAAATCAGAAACGAATTCTTATAAATTACAGAAAGAATTAAATATTGGTAGCAAGTAATTATATAACTCTAAAAATTATCGATATCTAAACTATGTGCCAAGGAAATTAACCGCCAATCAGTTAGGCCTATATATATCGCAATTTTAACGAGTGCTGCACAAGAAATGTATATAATATTCTTTTATAATAAAACGTACGCAGGGGCGTTCGAAAATATAAATATATATTTATATATATATATATGTATGTGTATATATATATATATATATATATATATATTGTTATTTTTGGCGTTTTAAAAATGTATAATAATATACAGTATAAACAACAAATAAATAAGTTAGAAAATGAAAATGTCAGCGGGGTTTTTTTAGATATCAAATACAAAAATCAGAAACGAATTCTTATAAAATACAGAAAGAATTAAATATTGGTAGCAAGTAATTATATAACTCTAAAAATTATCGATATCTAAACTATGTGCCAAGGAAATTAACCGCCAATCAGTTAGGCCTATATATATCGCAATTTTAACGAGTGCTGCACAAGAAATGTATATAATATTCTTTTATAATAAAACGTATAGTAGACCTCATGGTTTGTATTGTATTAATACCAGTATGAAAAATATATGCCACCATCCAAAGGAAGTGGATAATTTTTGACTATAATTTTATGAACTGATTTAATAAATATAGTATTCTATTGTGTAAGCCCTTATTTGCGCCTGGGAGAACAATAATAAAGTGCACCTGTTCTACACTGCTTGTGATAAACGGTATTAAATTAATAATACAGTATATTAAATCACGGAGTTTCTCCATGATTAAATCTGACTTAACCTGTCTTTTTAGTAGGCCTAGTCTGAGAGACATTGAAAAGATAGTGCTAAAATGGTGGTGGTGCTACTTGAACTACTTGAACGTGATTTTTGTTGGGGGGTGGGGCGACTAGAGGGTGCAAGATACGCCACTGCCCCAGTGTAACATGTCCAATGTTCAATCTAAAATAAATCCTCCCGGTGATTCTGATTTGCTGGATCCGAATTAATGAGACCGTAAACTAACAGCCAGGAGACACATCACATAAGCTTGAAACAAAGCACCCGTCGATGCAGTACTGTACTACAATTTGTTTTCTGAAGTTGTCAAGATGGAAAACCGCCTTGAAAGCTGGGATTATGTTGCCATTGTGGTGTACGTTGTACTTGTATTGGCTGTTGGGTTGCATGTAAGTTATTGGAACCTTTGTCGTTTGTAGTAGTTATTCAGATTATTAGCTCCGCATTACTGTAGTATTCAAACTAACTAACCTTACCATTATCATTCTGGTGATTCGCTGCTTTCTTCTTCTTTTTTTTTAAAGTCCTTTCTAATGGTCAATAGACGTTTAAAAGAGTATCGGTAAAAAAAAAAAAAAAAAAAAAAAAAACAAAAAACATGAGGCCAGAAATTTAAGGGCATGATACTGAAATACTAATTGAAATGTTAATTAGGAAAGAGTAAATATTTTTTCTCGTTCGATCAATTGAAAGCTAATACAGTAGGCCCAACCATAGAGAAAATAGAACATATTTTCATATTTTCTCTATGGCCCAACACATAAAAATACCGTATTTATTCGAATAAACGCCCCGATTTGATGGAACGCGCCCCCTCGAATAAACGCCCCCTCCAGAGCCCAGGGCGTTTATTTTTCCTCGAATAAATGCCCATAAAATTCCTGTAAACTCATCTAGCAACATCATTCTCAACACATTCTATTAATGTTCGCTCAGTACACATTCCAGTAGAATTACATTTTTTTTACCTGGTTGGGATCAATTACCGGTATAAGTTTTTATGATCAAGCAATAACACATTTTAATTATTTACAGTGAAATTAAGGGGGTTTATTTGAGTATTGTATGCTTATCTATTTTACACTAATAAATAAATGAATAAATAAATAATGCCTCCTCTCGGATAGACACCTCACTCGAATTGAAAAAAAACCCGGTATATTAAATTTAGCAAGGCTATATTTCATATTTCAAGTTTATACCAGATTTATGTGTATCTTTTTATAAAATGCTACCCCTACTGATGACACCACATGCAAATTATGTAAAAAAGGAAGAAGGGTATCAGTCATTTTTTGTTTATATGCAGTGCTCTAAATGAAATCAGGTGTAGTGAATTTTCTCCGTTAGAACACGAGTTGTACAATAATAATCATAGAAGAAATTTGGCAATTGTTTATCTCAGGAAATCTTGAAATCAAACTTTCAGTGGCATTGGCAACACTGATTTGTATATACATAAACTTGAAAATTAATAAATCAAATTCTGGATAGGTACTGCAAGGCATATCTTAAGCCTGTTTTCGATAGCAATGTGAATGCGGCATGCGCACGAACGACGCTTTCGATTCGCGCGAATAAATTCGCCTAGTGGAAAACGGGTATTTTTTAACCAATTTTATTATACATCTTGAAAGTTATTATTTTACCCTAAATGTTTCACCTTTTTACTCGTTTCTGTTTTATTTGTATTTTAAATTATTTTTAATGATTGTTAAATGCTTAGCTATTGATTAATTGATTTTAAATATCACTGTTTATTTTTATTGAATTATCTTTTAAGCTTTGTTTTGTTTTTGTATACGTGTCGTTTTAAGTCTGTGGTTTTATGTTTTTTATGAACGCACCACATGACGTGTGACACTGATTAAAAAGTGTAGACTTCAAATAAAGTTATTATATTAAATTATATTATTACTTTACTACATTTTACTGCAGTTGTGTAACATATGGTCCTTATGTTACCAATAACAATATTAATTTTATTATCATATCATGCCGGTATGACTCTGATCAATCAGGGGCGGATTTAGAGGGGGCTTTTTACTGCTTTTTGAAGGTCCAAATTAAAATATTGTTTAATGATTTCTTCACACACATCACATTTATGGGCTAAACATTTTACAGTAGTTGTTTTTTAGTGATTAAATAAAAATGAAATACGTTTTTTAACCAATCAGCGGACAAAAAACGTAGCTAAGAAAGCTGCTTTTGCCTTGCCTTCATGCTCAAACTGACCGCCCACCGCATAGAGGCTACATTTTTACACCTCTAGCGACTTCGTTGGCTTTAAATTGCCATTTCGGCTGTTCACCAATCAAATATCCTGTTGTTCATTCCCCTCCCCCAACCCGACAAGTAAACGGAAAGCTGAATATTCATAGATTCTTCTCATATAAAATATATGAATTCCCATTGAATGAAAAAAAAAATCACCATCAAAACACTAATTTATTTTAATATGGTTCGTGTGTTAATCGAACACACAACATCCAGGTTTGCTATTTATTATCCACCATCAACTAAACTGCCTTAGACAAATTGTAAAAAAATTGGTTCGTGTGGGAATTGAACACACAACCACCAGGTTTGCTATTCATTATCCACCTTCACCCTTAAAAAAATATGGGTTCGTGTGGGAATCGAACCCACAACCTACAGGTTTGCTATCATTATCCACCATCAACTAAACTGCCTTAAAAAATTAAAAAAAAAAAAAACTTGCCCCGTGTGGGAATCGAACCCACGATCGCTGAGTTTACTACCCCTGATCCAGCATGACTAAACGGAGGGAGGTAAACCACGGCCCCTAAGCCATAAACGCAATAAACCTAGTACCACACCAAGTACCTGTTAGTCAACCTACTAGAAAAAATTCTTCGTATATATACACTACATGTTAATATTACGCATGGTCATGGTGTCAAAAAAAATGAGCCGTGGGCAAAGAGGGTTTATTTTTTGTCTAAAAATATATAATTAAATTTATAATCGATTTATGATTGTTACTATCTCCATAACTTACACACTTTTTTTTAAATAGACAAAAATGTTGGAAAAATCATTATGCTAATTAGAAAAAAAATAGACCAATCATGTTACGGAATTGAATGTATTGTACTCGTTGATGACGTCGCGAATTGCGAAATAACAACAAACAACAACCTTTTATGTCCCAGCCTAGGAACCAGTCAATTCGAGCGGATGCCACATCGAGCGAAGGCCAATTCGAGCGAATTCGAGCGGATTTTTTTTTTTCGAGCGGATGCAGTGGTATATAACTTTTTGTTATTTTCATGTGTTTATATGGGGTTTAATGATTTATCGATTGTGAAGGTTGTGATAGTTATTGGAAATATAAAATATTTATTCATTCTATTAATAAGTAAAATAAGTTTGAATAATTATTGATGAGAGTGATTGTTGTATGCCATAAAATCTTCTGTCATACATTCAGAGCTTTTGGGGTTTCATTGTTGAGTTTGCTTTAAAACCAAAACAAATTAAAACGAGCGTAGACAGCAATGTTAGCCATTTTATTGTACTTTATAAAAGGATATAAATATA